TAAAATATCTCATGCCTTTGTATTTTTTTTTAAAAAAGAGGGAAGGAGGCCACAGATCATTTTGATTTTTATTCTTTCCCTTTATTCGCTAATCAGGCTTTGTTTTCTCTTTAATGTCCTCTTCTACAGGACTGCACTCTGAAACACTGCACTAGAAACCGTGTGCCATTCACAGGTCAGTCTGACCTATCCTTGTCTGAACAAAATTTTATTTTCAAATGAAAGTCCTACAATCACTTTTCCAAGAAACCAAAAATAACTAACATCCTAAGATCTTAAAAACAATGTAAAGTGGAAAATAGAAGAACTATATCCTTCTGTTTGTGAACAACGGGAGAGCAGAGAAAAAACAAGAGGAAGAATGACCGAATGCCGCAGGTTTCCCGGAACATTTCCCTGGACTTCCACTTCCCTAAGAGACAGCCTCCAGCGAGGTTTCTTCCCAGGCCCATTCAGCTTCTCTCTGCCCTTCTGCCCAGTTTCATGTTGTCCTCTCACACTCCAGACCCTCTGTGAGAACAGACTTCACTTGCAATGCTTCTAGGTACTCACATGAGCCAGGGGTGGAGGGCCCAAGTCACATTTGGTTCCTCTCTCTGCCCGTTACATCCTCTATCTAGTGAGCCCCCGGTTCTGTTAATTTTTTAAAGCTTCCCACATTTACCTTTTTATTTCCAGTTTCCCTGCCACCACAATGATAACAACAGCAATATTTGCCAGAGCCTCCAGAGCTCCACTTAGCACGAGCAAACGATTTTACACAGGGACGTTCAGCCCCACTCTGCTCCTGACACAATTCTGACCAGGGCAGAGAGTTTATTGGGTGCTTCCCTTGCGGTCCTTGACCTAGTTTTATTGTGAAGGATCCCAGGGCCTGAAATAAGCCCTTAGGAACTATGGTCCACTGGGAGATTTAGTTTCCTTCCTAACAGGGTAATATTACTACTATGAATTGCTAATTAGCACCACAACTTCCCCCACAAAAATTGTGGCTCTTTTCAGAATGGAGGTTCCTGAAATTCTACATAGCTTTTGTCAAGAGAATACTGAATCTCCTTTTCTAGTTATTGGCTTCGTCCGAGTCCCGATTCCCGAGGATTTGGAACCAGGGCACAGTCAGATACTTGACTCTGCGTGGCTACACCATCTAGACATCCTTGTTATGACCCACCTACTAGATGTGATCCTTGCACATATCAATACCATCCCCCTTTAGACCTAAGTCATTGATTGTTTAGAATGCTGGCCATCTCTCTCAGTGGACTGCCGTCCTGAAGAATCAATAACCCCACCCCACATGGTCCCAGCTTCCTGCCGTTCCCAGCTTCCCACCACAGGCTTTAAAGCCCACCTCTTTTGAGTTAGAGCATTCTTAATCATTGTCTCACTTAAATCACAAAACAACCCAATGAAATAGGTATCATTATCCGCACTGACTGATGAAAATTTTAACTCAGAGAGATTACATTACAGGACTATACAAGGTCACGAGGCTAGGCTGTGGCAGAGCACGCAGGTCTTCCTACTCCCAATCGCATATTGTCTTCACTATATTAGGCTTCTTTGTACCGTGTCTCACAAGCACTATTGCAAGAGACGTAACACAGCTTTCTATCTTCCAAATCACCCTACACATTACCCAAAGATTATTCTTCCTGAACGTTCACTGCTATCATATAAATCTCATGCTCTAAATTTATCTTCCACGCTTCCCCAATTATTTATGCAATAAGGGCCAATTCACCATCTAAACATTTGAGTCTCCATAATCTGGGTCCAGCCTGCCTGTCAATGTTTATCCCCCATGATAGCTCCATAATCGAAACCAAATACTCCGGTGCCTCAGCCACTCAGCCCAGGCTGTTTCTGAAGTTCTGTGTTTCTTGTTTCTAATTATACTTACTCTCATTGTCAAAGCCTCACATGACCAAATTATTCCACCCTTCTGTCAACTTTACTCTAGCCGTATTGGCATTGTAACACAAATTGCATTGTAGGATTTCTTTTTATTACATAGGGTGACGCATGGAAATTTCCCTTTCCCAAATTCCCACACTTTGTAATTCTTGCAGGGCACCACCATATTCCAAACCTTAAATTGTCATTTTCGAGTTGCTTTATAACAGAGAATTTGTCTTATTTAAGTCTTCTCTTTCAAGCTTAACACAATGCCCTAAGCATAGTAAGAGCTCAATAAATGAGTAGGTGAAAGAATACATTAGATAATGGGAAAAGAGGAAAAGGTTTTCACTAGTACCTACATGATGACGATAATGAATTCTAAACCTTCAAATGTGCTAATTAAGAGTGGAGGTTAAACCAATAGTGCAAAAAATGTTATTTATCCTGTTTGCCTGGATAGAAATCTAAAAATTTTTGAAATGATACATTCCTTCCAAATTAAAATAGAACAGTAATGTGATTTTCTGAATCAAATAAATTTTAGAAAAGGCACTAAACTGTTAACATGCAAAATGTTCATAACAAAGGCCCTTTCAGGTCCCTTGCTTTTGAAGTTGTAAAAGACAGGACTACTTAGTGTTTCTAACTGTGATAAAAAGAGGCTCCAAAATTAAATTCCAATCTTTGCTGATTAAGAAGCTGAGCCTAGACAAACCATGTCTTAACAAAACTTGCTATCTTATAAAACAAGGGGACCGAACCATCTAGGTCACTGGATTTTGGTGGGCAGGGAAGGAAGGACAACGGAAGTAAGAAAATCACATTATCAGTTTTTCTCAATTAAAGATTAACTTCAAGGAAATGAATGCACTGACAATTAATAAGGCCAGATGTACTTAAATGACTCCTATCAAGAAAAATAAATCTGTAATCTATTTAGCAAATATTTTTGCCTTCAGAGTACCAAATATCTTGAAAGACTTAAATTTTCTGTTTTCTTCCATTGGCTTAGTTTTGTGTACATACATTCCACAGTACAATTTTATCCATTAGTTTGGTAAACCCTAAAGAACAGAGAGATATTCTCTTCTGTCTGCCCTTACCCTGAAATAGATATGCTATATTTGTTTTAAGTATCAAATATAATTTTTAAAATATAATTTGTAAGTATAAGGGGTAATTCAAATTTGAGGCAGAAGTATACTTTTTGTATATTATCAGAGGTGGAGCAATCTCTGCCTTGAAAAGAGCTAAAGTGTTTGAATGGCCTTAAATTTCTACAAAGTGGGCAGAAATCCTAAACTAGCATCATGTTGACAAAAATCTCAGCGATTAGTGGGATCAGCTTTGACTGTAATGGCTCCGTTTGTCTACCTGCCACCTCTGCCAAGTTACTGCCAGGGCTTCCCCAGAGGCTGGCTTCCCTGAGGATCATTTACTCCTCCATTTGTGACAAAATAGCTGAAGTTTAATTACAATGAGATGATAGCTATACCCATCAGCCACCTCCAGAGGAAACTCAAGAGGCTTCATTCATAATTTGTGGCTGAAATAACCCAGTTCTCTCTAATTCCATGCTAAATCTTTCAACGTAACTCACTTGAGCTAAAGTCCATCAAGAACTTCAGGCAAGAAACACTGTAGTTAGAAATTCCATTCTGAAGTTTCTCTAATACAAATTTAAACCATGAACTTTAACAAATGAATTTAATAAAATAACAACAACTTTATCTCCTCTGATAGTCAACTACTAGTACCTTGAAAGAGAAATCTGTCGTCATAACCCACAAAAAGAGAGTTTTCAAAATTCCCCAAGGGAAAAACCCACAGAGGTCTTTTCTCCTCCCCAGTATTAATTATAAAAATAATTGCAAATTCACAAGTATAGTAAAATTCTATTTAAAATACAATACACTGATTTATTTATAAGGTCAAATGATACTTCCATTTGCATTGTCAATCCATTTTTTAATATTTTAAAGCCAATCACAGTTGTAGACTATATATCATGAATCTAGCCATAAAAGTATTTACTATTTCTTACATTGAAAATTTTTCTTAAAACTAAACACATATGTAAACTCCTAAAATAATTGAATCTCTTTTGCATTCTGCACTTACACTTGGCCTGTCCACTAGTCATACTAATATGGGATAGAACCAAATCGTATGTTTCCTCTAAAAAGCTCCACTTATTATGGGGGGGGAGAAAAGCCTACAGGCTCCCAAAAACAAATTCAATAAATCTCACTATTTCTGAAAAAAACTTGATCTTTAAAAAAAATTGTAAATGCCAGAACCAAATGTCAGAAAAAAACCGAGATTTTTTTTTCCTTCAAAAATATCTAAAGATTAAAGGAAAAGCTTTGGCTTAGAGAATATATATTATTCACTTCCATTTTAGAATGTTGTTTACCAAAATATCATAAATACTTAATAGCAACTGTTCCTAGTGCTTCTAGCAAAAGGCAGTAAAACGAAACATAAACTTCAGCTGCGAAGCCCTAGGAGCTTTGCTTTGCATTTCATCACTCCACTTCCCCAGACCCCGTTTAGGGTGGCCCCGGTTCTAATGATCACCAGAGACGGCTCAACTGAATTCCAAACAGAAATATTACGAGCTCCAGTGAACCCATTAATCATTGAAATGGAAAGAACAACAACAGCAGTGAAATCCTCGGCCGCTGGTTCCAGTTGCCTGACTGATAGCTAAGACATACCATATTTGGAGGAGGAAGTAATCACACATTCCAATCCAAAATTTTATTTTACACTTCTATAAAGCCTATAAAACTTTCAAGATATCAAGACGGTGAGGAACTCCATGCTCCAAGGGTGCTCTGGGACTATTTATGAAAATCTTAAACTTGAAATCACAAACCCAGGCTCACAGAGCTCAATTTGCAAGAATTAATACCAAATCTCACTTACAAACAAGATCCAGATCTTTAGAATTTCCCTGCGTTTGCAACATCAAACTTCCTTCTTACTCTCTTTGTTCAAGATAATGACCAACTGAACTGGATATCAAGATTACTTCTTACATTTAAAATATACCTACAATTATGAGCCTCTCCTTTCTGCGGAGAAATACTCACAGAATTAATTATTCCTTTAAGAGCTTGAAATCCACCTTTGACGGGGAAAACTTGTTCCTTGGAATCAGCAATTCTTTCGAGCTTTAGAAAAAGGAGGAAAATTTAATTACGGGGTGGTTGAGACATACAACACTTTTTACACTTCATTATGTTTCAGTTAATGTGCATCTGAAAAATTACAGCAGAGGATTACTTCACTGTCGGGAATTGCAGGTGACGGTACTAGTGTTACTCTAAGTGTATCACAACAAAATGCACTGAGATCAGGGTCCTTTACAATGGCCTTGAGTTTCAACTTCGAAACAGCAGAGTTCTACTAGCTGTAAATGTCATGAGACTCGAGAATCTCAGGTGTACTTAACCAAGCATTTAAATGTAAAATCACATTGTCAGTGGAAAAAAATTTGTAATGTGTAAGCCCTCGAAACTTCATGAAAAAAACTGGTTTTTGTAAGGAAAATTGTTAAAGATTTCTACACGCACAGACTTCCCAAATCCCTGCACTCCTAAGAGTGGAGTTTGCAATCAAACTAAAACACGTAAACAAGACTTGTCATGATAATCTTGTCAGTTGAGTCAAAGAAGAGGAGTATTCCTATTATTTTAATCCAAAAGTTTTTCCTATATTAATTACTTCAAACCAAATAAACGCTCAAGAAAATTAAAGTTTTGTTTTCAGTAAGGAAATCAAACACTATAAACATAGAGCTCAAGACATCTGGCCATTTTTATAGAGAAATCTATAACTACTGATTACTGTCATCATAAGTCATCAGTGAAAAAAAATCTGATAAGCTCTCCTCAAGACAATTATTTGGCTGAGATTAAAGTTCACAGATCTGATGTACTTACCTGAGCTTGTTCAAAGTCAAGGACACCAACACAATAAACTCTAGCCCCAAGTGACCTGGATATCTTTGCCTAATAGAGGGAGAGACAGAGAGAGGGAGACAGAGAGGTGAATTATTCAAAGATCAGGCTATCCATGCAGAGACATACAGCAAAGCACACTGGGGTGGAAAGAACAGTTTCAGTTCAACACTCACCTCTTTCTCTGCATACGATGGCACCAGACCGTCCAACTTACCATCTGTCAGAGCAATTATAATACTGGAGGTCTTTAAGCCTCCCGCTTTCTCAATTTGTTCATTTGCCTGAAAAGGAAGAATAATTGTCCAACTCACAAGTTAATCTTAACTTGTAACCAGCATGTTCCACCAAGCTGAATTTGTAAGTCTAGCAAAGTCAAAATATATTGAACTGGCTTTTAAAACAGGGTATTTTGTATTAACTATTTTAATTTGAAATATACATATATTGACATTCTAGAACAGTAACTATTTGGTTTAAATGATACAGGCTTTTAAGCCTTGGTCGACCATAATCACAGAGAAAAGGTGGTTCTCTGAATACAGCTGCAGAGAAAAGGGGAATTTCCTTAAAAGGCAAGATGCTATCAAAACTTTTCTTATCACCACAGTAAATGTTTCCTGTCAGTCTCATTCCTAGAACAACTAAGAGCATTTTTTTTAAATTTTAAGATAAACATGTAATAGGGTCTTTGAGTTTTTCTAGAGGGGTATATTTATTTCATTACAGAGTAAGAAAATATTCTCTCCTATACTCATAAATGTAAAAGAACTTACCAGCTTTAGTCCTTCATGGATGTATGTCTCTCCCACAGGACTAACACGTTTTAAATTGTCCAAGCCTTCACTGATTTTGCCCCTGAAAATAATATATTAAAAAATGAAGCAAAAGAAAAACAAGCAAGGATCACAATAAACACTTCTCCAAAAAAGTGGCAGTTTTGCAAGTAAGGTTTCTTTAGTAAAGGAAAAAACTTGGGCTTTGAGGGCAGATAGCGCCTCACACTCTCTGTCATGTTAAGGAGTATTTAGTAATATCTGTATTTGAACTGCAAAAAATAAAAGTACTGACAATATGAAATGTCTTGAAAAATCCAGGCATATTCTAGGCATTTTGATATGACAACAGATTTCTATCATATTTGTTTTATTAAATGCTAAGGAGTAAAACATTTTCCTTCATCCAAAAAAAAGGATTGAGTGAGTCAGCTTAAGTGAAAAAATATTTCTGAATCACTCACCCCACCTCCCTAGAAGTTGGAAATTTTCTTTGTTATCTGGAAATTCCTAAAAGCACATTACTGAACCCATACTTATGGAAATGAATATTTCCTACTTTTGTCTACCAGAGTCATTTTCTCACCCATCCAAACACCAGCTCATTCTCTTGAATATTGTAGATACTTAATACATATATGATGAACAAATGGGAGAATAAATGACTGGATGGATGGATGGATGATAATGGATTCTTGAGAGAGACAAAATAAAGGAAAACCATAAAAAAATCTTTTTCATTGTCACTAATTAGTTATCTCAATGGAATTTGTCTAAAGAAGTATAACTACAATATTATGAGTTATTTTGTGTGTGTAAGTAAAAGACTCATTTTTCAGGTTTTTTAAATACAGGTTCCAGAGATCCCTTTAAAAATAAAGAAACCACAAGAATCTTGAGATAAATACAACAATGTTGCAAAAACAATCTAAAACAAATTCAAATTTTCTTTCTAAAATTTTAAATTTAACAGAACAGAGAGATCCGAATATATTATTTTCAGAATTTAAGTTTTTAAATAGAAGTAAAAATATACCTTTCTAAATAAAAAAGTCTTGAAATGGTAAACTGAAGTATAATGTTTTAAATAAAACATGAAGCACATCCACACTACTGAGGATGAGAGATGAAAGATTAATTATAAAAAATGTATTATCTGAACGTCAAGAAACATACTGGGATCACACACAAAATTACAGAATTTATATATATGTATACACATACATATATATGCACATATTAAAACTAATGTCAAATATAGTAAAAAATTTATTTTGTCATGCTGTGAAGTTGTGTTTCAAATACTTGAAATAAATGAGTCATTCATCAGAGCCTCATTCACATTTTAAAAGTAACATAATGCTTATATTTTAATATTGTAATGAAAATGATTATCAGTCAAGTTCTCCATCTCAAGAAGTTGCCAGAAAGAAACACAAGACAACTTTCAAAATATGTTCCTAATCTTCCTCCTTCCTAATTCAGTCATCTCTACCAATCCATGTTGATTTTCTCTTTCAATACTTGGTATCAAATCTACCTATTCTGAACCTATCTTTAACTTCAGTTTACTCTTTTTTTCTAAGGTGCCCCACCGTATCCATATTCAACTTTTACTACAATGAATAATTCTGTTTCTCAATGACTTCTACTTTAAAATAATTTTACTAACTTAATTTAATATTTTCACTTCTCAACCAGACTGGAAGTTTACGGTGCCCTATCACCATGTCTATTATCTATAATGTATCCCCCAACTTTGCACTTATTAGTTATGATAAGGCCTTTTACAAAGTAAGTGTTCAATACATTTGTCAATCTCCATAGGAAAAAAATTCATCATTCCACAGATGATGGAGTAAATTACATAATTTATAAACTTGTTTTATCTAAATATTTATGTTTTAATACCTACAGAAACGACTTGAAACTAATTCTGTCTGAATGCAGATAAAAACCAAATATTTGATGCTTCCCAGAAATGAGTGGCAGCATGTCCTCAAGCATTAATGTTTGCTGCCAAAAGAGAAATGAAAAAGACAACTGAAATTCAACTTTACATAAACAGATTTTGCATGGTAAAAATTGCCTTCTCAGTTCAGTTCAGATTCAGCTCACCATTACTTCTGAAGACCAGACAACACCAGCAGGAGACTCTAAGCTGAAAGCCTGGCCAAATGTGGGATTCAGAGTCTTTGGGAGGGTAGGGCTCTGCTAGCTTATCTCACTGGAAGAACAGAGCACCTCTTGCTTTTCTGCCCATACCTGCCACCATAATATTCTAAATTGCTCTGATGCATCATTACTTTTGAAAGTGACACAGTCATAGAAGGAAAAGTGTTCCTTGCCCACAACCATTAACATCAACACATGTGAGTCCTGGTTGCTCACTTTCCAAGGTAACTACGTAATCTGTCAGCCTCTCCTCCATTAACAAGGGTCACTTCGGGGGAAAAAATGGAAACCAAAACAAGACAGGGCAGATCTCAGGCCTTTGAAGGGCCCCAAGCAACTAAAAATAAGTTCTAAACTTCTCTGTTAGTAAATGGTTAACTAGAGGAAAACAGAATTATGTAGTAGGTTAAACATATAACTCATGGGGTAAAATGATAGAAAATAAATGAGGAAAAATTGTCTCTGTTATAAAAATCAGCTCAAATCCAACAACATCTTAGAAGATCAGCTTTACTGAGTTTGGCTTTAACGTTATGTCTTCAACTACAAGGCAGAGCAATCCTGGAACTACTTTGGTATTTATTGTGAAGCTGTAGTCAAGGATGCTGCTGTCATGATACACCAAGTCCCCTCTGAGGTCACAAGGCAGAAGCTCCTTGGCCACGCCTGAGTAATCACCAGACACTTCCTCCTTGCGCTCGCTACAACTCTGTAAACTGTTTCTTGCCCTGACAATCGGGAACCCCACAGTACATTTCTTACTCATTCAGAAAATTCTGTAAGTTCATATGGTGATCACACTGCTACATTCTCTTTTCAAAGATCTCAACCTTTCTTTTTATATGTTAATAATTTTCTGTAATGTTATCATATTCTGTGCAGCTTCAAATACTTTCTGGAAAAGAGGCAGAATTTATACAAATAAACTGGGATATGAAACGTCTGCTTATGCTGTTGTTGTTGCTGTTGAGCATCAGGGAACCAAAATCTATAATCAACTCTTTCTTCTTGTTTTTATAATTATACTGATTGAAAAGACAGAATGAACGGGTCAGGGGAGGAGGCAAAACACACTGACTCATTTTGTTCTCATCTATGAAATGAATACTTTCAGCTCTGTTAGTATCTCTCAATTATCTCTGCTGGGTAGGGAAAGGAAGAAAGAAAAAGGGCAGAAGGATAAGAAGACAAGAGATGGGAAGGGCAGGAAACAAGGCAACTACAACTGCCATACATGGCACGAAAGCAATGGCTTTTCTCCATCCGTAGGACATTTGGGATCATGGAAGGTGTGCATGATGTCATAGCTAAGATAAAGATACATTTTATAAACAATGGCATGAAAAATGGTTAGCAACAAATTCTGACTTGCCCAACTAGCATAATTAAGGCATCATTTTAAGTACTTTCTGCTTGTGATTAAGTATGTACTTTTATACATCTGTACAGTACTTGAACTTTTCATCCTAACTTTCCAGATTTCAAAGCTCTTCCCATATTTCAACCAGTCTGGATGTGTGTAGATTACCTACACACATCTGCTGAGCACCCCCTGCTTGTGAATACCGTGATCCTACGCGGTGACAGGAGAACGACTCACACTTAGCCCCTGGCTACTGTCACACACATCTCTGCAGATGCTGTGTAGTACTCCACCTTGGCCGCACACTGGAACCACCTGAGGGGCTTAAAAAAAAAAAAAAGAAAAGCTCTTCTGGACTCTAACTGAAGAGATTCTAATTTACTTGGTGTGTGACGGGTCAGGGAACTTTTTGGAAATTCCCCAGGATATTCTAATGTGCAGCCAGAACTAAAAACCTCTGATCTAGTCTAATTGGCAGACCTTGCATGTGGTTGGAATGCTCTCTTCCTCACCTAATTTGTCAATTTTTCTATCGAAAGGGTTTTTGGGGTGACTAGGATAATCTTTTAAACTGTAAAATACAGATTCTGGGATGGTACGGCTTATCGTCAGAGAGAACATAAATTAATTTCAAGCCCTATCTCATTTTCTCATCTACAGAACAAGGATGAAAATACCTACCCCACGGCCCACTGTGTGGACAAGGCGGCACATAACAAGCACTGAGTTAGCTGTCGCTACTGTCGTTGTTACCGCCGGTACTGGTCATTCCCCCGTTAGCAGGATTTCGTTCACCCAGTTTCCTTTCTTCTTGATTCCAAAGAGAGCTCACTCAGCAAATTGAGGGTTGAAAAATTTTGATACAGAGACCAGAAAGGAGGAGAGAAAGGGAAAGAGAAAAGAGGAAAGAAAGTGTTATACTGAAGCTTTGGTGAGGAGAAGGCCCTAGAAGGGAATTACATGGAAAGACAGAGGATAAGGTAGGAAGACTCAGGGGTAGGAGCAAATAAAAGACGAACCGAGACTTTGACTCTGCAACTGTTAAACTGTGTAACCGCCAGCACTTGCGCGGTTTCCTGGAGCTCGGTTTCTATAGTCTTAAAAGTAAATAAGAATGCCTGTTCCAGTGGAGTTTGCATTCACTCACTCTATAAATATTTATTAGGTGACTACTATGATGTTTATAATATAATGCTATTTGGCAGCACTGAGAATTCAGAAGGTAGTGAGTGCCTGGACAGAAGACAAATTAGAGGATATTAAAGGAGAGAGACAGGAGAAAGGATGTGAGTAGTGCCCCAATTAAAAATATATATATTTTAGGAAAACTGTAGTCATTTTTAATAAATGAAATTTTGACTCTCATATTGTACTAGCAAAGTATTTCTACATATTGTTCTTAAGTCCTTGAGAGTTTGAATACAATAACACTATTCAAAATCATGGAGGTAAAGGAAATGTATCAAGATCTATTCCGACCTAACTCAAGGAAATAATGGCAATGTTAAAATAATAAAAGTAAAAGCAAATGTATAAATGTTGTT